CTAGTTGTATTAACTGTGCTATTAGGGTTTTTTTTTTTTTTTAAAAAAAACATACAACAAGACAACAACAAAAAAGCCAACTCACTCACAGTCTCGGGCGTCATGATGGCGCCGACCCCAACTTGAGCACTTTAAAGTCGGGGACCCAGGGAGCTGAAAGCATCGGAGGACAGGCCTGGCCCCCCATGCCCTGACTTCCCAGCCCCGCGGCTTGCAAAGCTCTCTAGCTCGCTCTGCCAAGCCGGACTAGACCTCAGCATATCCTCGGTCGCCCTAGCTTCCCCGTCCCTCTCCTTCTCTCTTTTTGATCTATCTCTTTCGCTTCTCGGCCCCCCTCCCTGCCTGGTCCTCCATCCCCGGGCGGGGTTGCTACGGAAACGGCCGCTTGGCAACGCGCGCGAGCCCGGGGGCCGCCGGCCGCTGCTGCGCCCCGCGCTGCCTGTGCCGCCTCCCGCGCTCTGCTCGCCGCCTCGCAGGACGGTGTGCGGCCGCCAGGGATTAGCCACGCTCCGGACGCGGCCGGGCGCCCCGAAGGAGGTGGAGCGCGGTGCCAGGGGGCGGGAGGGGAGGGAGGGAAGGCAAGCTGCAGAGGAGCAGAAAGGAGGCGAGGCCGGGGAAAGAGGGAAACTACGCCCGACAACTAGGGAGGGGGCGAGAAAGAGAAGAAACCCACCCACCCACTCAGAAAACGGAAAAGAGGAAAAAAATCTCGTGTGGCGCGCCGCCTGGTTATCGGGCAGCCTCGCCAGCAGCAGGGGGTGGGAGCCGACGCTGCCGGAGAGCGAGCAGCCTGGCAGGCACGGACATGGTGCTCCTGGCGCAGGGCGCTTGTTGCTCGAACCAGTGGCTGGCGGCGGTGCTTCTGAGCCTGTGCTCTTGCCTCCCGGCTGGGCAGAGCGTGGACTTTCCCTGGGCGGCCGTGGACAACATGCTGGTGAGGAAAGGTGACACGGCAGTGCTCAGGTAGGGACCGCGCGCCCTTTCCACACTTGCCTCAGTCTGTCTTTCTGTCCTTTTCCCTCTCTGCACCTGGCTTTACACCTAGCGTGAATCCTGCTGTTGCTCAGGAGCAAAAAACACCACACCTCAGGCTAGCCACGCATGACCCTTCCCCGGCTTCCCGGACCCTGGGGCAGAAGTCTGGCTGGATTAGGGCGAGAGAGAAAAGCGCTTTCTAGGCAGCCTGGGGTTAGTGAGTGTGGGGCTTGAAGGAGGGGCAGGTGCCACTTTGGAGCTGGGTCTCCGCTCTGCTGCCAGCGGTACTCCAGGAGTCTGACAAGTTTACGGGGCTTGTCTCTGCTTCACTCCGTAAGCGACTTTTCTCAACTGCTGGCTCTGTGCTCCATTTATTTTCCCTCTCACTTGAAGAGTAAGATCCAAATATTCCTTTCAGCTTTTTTTTTTCTCTTGCAGCTGTTTTCCTTCTTTGTTTTCCTCTTCCTCTTTCCTCTATCCCATTTGGCCAATCCCCTCTTCAGTCACCCCCATTGCCTCCAGTCTCTGGTTTACCCCTGTTCTGTTCTGTTTCCACTATTTTACACTCTCCTTAGTTACTGTCATTCCTTGTTCTCCCTGTTTCTTCAGCTTTCCCTCTCCACTAATTTCTGCTCCTCACCATAGCCCTTGTCTTCCCTACCCAGACCCTCCTCTGTCTCCAGCTTCTTCTCCATGCACTTTTCTGTCACACCCACACTCAAGGTCCAGTACCATTTTCAAACCCCATAAATCTCTATTTTTATGAGGCCGTTCCCTCTCAGCTCTCCCATTCTCTCACACACCGGCACTTCCCTCCTGTAAGGAGTGCTTCACGTTCAGATTCTCCCTCAGTGTGTAAAGGATGCACACTCCACACTCACCACACACGTGCACCCCCCACACACACACACACATACTTCCCTTCCTCTTCTGTCTTTAGTTTTACCGCTTGTCTCCCCCTATTTTCACTGAGCTGAGTGTGAACAGAGCGTTTATCGTGAAAGGACCCCCTAGCCTGTTTTCCCCAGAAGCCACACTGCCAAGTGTGCCTGAGGAAGATGTCCTTTCCCGTGGGATATAAATTGATGGGCAGCCGTGCTTAGAGCTAAACAGGGCTCCCTGCCCTGCCTGGCTCCTTCACTTCCCATAGACCCACATACACTGCCCCTCCCCTCCCCAACCTGGTTTGCTTTGCCAATCTCCCTGAAAGATCTTCACTCTCTCCACTGGGTGGTAGTTTGCTTATGAGTACAGATTACACGGAGCCAGCATAATACATGCATGTCTAAGGTGGGGAAGAATGCTTATTTATGGTTGAACCAGGCAACGTTTTAAATTTAAGGATGTAAGTTTGAGGCATGACTTAAAGCTTTTTAAATTGTTCTTGAGGCCAATTACAGAGATCAATTCTAACATGTTAATACCTTGTTTTAAGAATATATTATTCTCGTTAAGAGTCTGAGAACACAAAAGTAATGTATTTCTGCTACAGTATAGAAGAATAATAACTTTTCATTTTGGACAAAGGTGAGGTGTGCTTTATCAACGAACAGAAGTGAATTAAACGCCCCCACCTTTATGCATGTTATTAGTTTCTTCGCAAGTTTGAACATCAGCAGCTTTCGATGCAAGCTCAAATGATAGAAACTGAAATGTGTGTGTGTTTGAAGTAGCGATTGGCTAAAGTGTGGCAAGCAGCAGCATTTTCAGCCTGAAGGACTTGGTTCCTAGCCCGAATCATGGTGATATTATCTTGGCAATTCCTTTCCTAATGAGCAATTTAATAAGTGTTATGGCCAATTGAAGTATCCAGAGCCTGTTCTGCTTCCAGGAGACCTTCACTCTGACAGTGTAGAGCTCCAGGCTTGTGGGGAGGATTCCTCCTGTGCTGAGTTTGGTGTGGTTCTTGCTTGCTGATAGGCTTCAGACCTCATCCTTGTAAGGCATATCTTGGGCTTCATAGCATTTCAGAGAATTCTCAACTCTCGAAACTTCTCAACGATATTAAGCAATTGTAAACATTTTAAATACCGTTTTTGTCAGTGGAAGCAAATTTTATCTGCTTTACTCTTTTTTTTACATCGATTTCATAATTCTATAGAAATTATCTAATTATTGAACTTTTTGATCACCCAGGTTTTAGAGACAATCTATCGTTTATTTATAGGAGAGTGCATGTTCGTTAAAATATTGACCATTGCTCTCAGTTCTCTGACTTTCCCCAGCATCTGGTATTGGTTTTGCTCACGGGCTGATACAGGTGGGCTTGGGGAAGAGCAGATGACGGCCAACTGTGAGGACATGCTTTCATTAAAAGTAAATCCATCAAGATGCATATACATATACACATACACATTCACATACACATACACATATATATATATATATATATATATATTTCAATTTATTGTTGATACTATTCTGTAACTCAATAGAAAAGCAAACTCTACCCTACAAACATGTGCCCCATTCTTATCAAAGTGTGTGAATTGAATACTTAAGAAAGCACTTAACAGGTTAATATGATAATCTATTGTCTTTTATTTATTTTTAAATTCAGCACATTCCTTAAAGCATCTCATAGAGAATAGTGAGATAACTGTTAGCAGGTATCTTGGAGTGCTAAAGCCAGGAAATGCAAGCATGTCACTTAGTGATGTAGGTGCTCCTGACTGTTAATGAAGGACAAGGTCAAAGGTCAGCTGATCCAGTTCTGTCTCCAAAGTGCCAGGGAATCTTTTTTATTTTTTTTCCAAAGAAAAGAATAACAAGCAACCAAAATCTTCCCTTGAGTGGAGCTGTAACACAAAGGAAATCCCTCCTGCAATTTTCTGCTGTCTGTCACCTTGTAAATGGTCACCACTGTTTAGCTCACCTAGAGGATGTACAGTGAGTTACAGGTAATCACCAAGGCTTGAACTCTTAACCTCTGCCTTTTCAGGTTGGTGGGCTTTGTAAGGACCCACTGAGCCACTCAGTAGACCTATGTGTACATTTCAGAGCAAAGTATTTATTGATGCATGTATTCAAAGAGAGTAATTCTTACATAAACTTTGTGTTTCAAAAATACACGAATTTCTAGAATGCCCCCTAGTTTATTTGTTTCTCTTTTTTTTTTTAAAAAAAAAGAACATATTTCCATGATTTGTCTCAATGTAGAATTTGATGTGTGCTAAACTTAACTACATTATTCTATTCCTAACAAAACGTGTTGGTTGGTAAATGGGGAGGTGTGCTTTTTCTCCAGTCATGTTGCATTTTGTGGTTTATAGCAGATCTGAGCCATTGAGTCTTCTTGTAGCAAAGCAGAGAACAGTCAAAGCAAGAACTTCAGGACTCAGGGCTGCTAACCCTGAGGTACTGAGGCACACTAAGCAACCCTGAGGAGCTGAGGCACACTATTGAAATTTACATACAAATCAGAGGACTTTTTAATGTTAACTAAAGCACCAATCAATTACTTTAGTCTCACTTTACTGGTAAATACTGTTGGGTAAACAGGGTAAACAGGTCAAAGATAAACAGACAAACAGTCACAAAAATTGGTATCCTCCCTACAACTCCACAATTCTGTGTTTGTTTTGCTCATTGTTTTTCCAGGGTTTCTCTGTCATGGGAACTGCCTGTCCTAGAACTCACTTTGTAGACAGGCTAGCCTCAAACTCATAGAGATCTGCATGCCTCTGCCTCCCTCCCAAGTGCTAAGAAGGAGTGGGCCACCAGGCCCAGCATCTGCACAATTTTTATATTTTTGTGAGCCTAGCCTTTAACAACTGACCCATCTCTCCATCCCATGTTCTCAATTCTTAAACACATTTCATTTTCAACTCATTTTTTTTTACAACTTGTTTATTCATTCCGCCATTCTGCATGGAGTTTGTACATTCACTTCCAAGATATTAATTCAAGATAACTTACTCTGTGCTTGTCATGCTTTTAATCAACGGAAGGAAGGAAGAAAGGAAAGAAGGAAGGAAGGAATGAAAGGAAGGAGGGAGGGAGGGAGGGAGGGAGGAAGAAAGGAAGAAAGGAAGGAAGTAAAGAAAGAAAGGAAAGTCTTCCTTACAGGTGATACATTCTGTTACTTTAGCAAAATGAACACAGCTAGCCATTCTATACACTGGACTTGAGTGTCAGTTACTGGGTAACATGCTATGTGGCTTTGGGGGAGAAGGGCAGGTGACGCACATGCACTAGAGTACATGTTTCCACAGAGGATGTTTCTGCTGGAACCACATAGTCTTGCCAATAGATTTAGAAATAGTGCCTTGAGTATTTATTCCTGTAGGCCAACACATTTGCTGTTTTTATTCTACATTAAGTAATCTAGATTGAAATGCATGCTGTTGGTTACAATAAATGATTTATGTATGAGGAAGTGGAATCACCAATAAATAGAAGTCAATTAGATACCCTGAGGGAAGACCATTGGGATGTCTCCTTGTAAGCTGAGTCCCTCCTGTATACCAAAGCACCATGTTCTCCTAGTAAACTGTTCATCAGCAAAGAGACCTTCAATTTATAACATTAAGATATTATTTAAATGCTTATGTGCTGATTTGGTAGAGTTCTTAAAAACATAATTCCACAGCTCTTAAGGAAGGAAGGAGTCATACTTGCGTTTAATTGTTGACTTAAGCTACCTGTGAAGAGGGACGCCATGAGGTAATTGCCCCTATCACATTGGCCTGTAGGGATGTTTGTGGGGCATTTTACTTCATTGTTAATTGATATGAGTGGGCCCAGTCCACATCAGGCAGTGCCATAGTGAGGCAGGTGGGCTTAGAGTGTATAAGGAAGGCAGCTGAGCGAGCCAGAGGAAACAAGAAACAAATCAGTAAGCAGCACTCCTTGGTCTGTGCTTCGTCTGTCTCTAGGTTTCTTCATGGAATCCTTACCCTGATTTCTCTCATTGATAGACTACAACCTGTAAGCCAAATAAATCTTTTCTTCTCCCGAGTTGTTTTTGGTCATTGTTTTAAGCAGCA